CTTGGCTGATGTTAGTCAAAATGTGCTCGCTTTGAGTGTCACAGGCTACATCCGTACTAGCAAACAAAATCAGACCAGCACTGATTTTGGCCTCTGATCCTGAGGCCAACTGGCATGCCACGGCAATATTTGTACTCATACAGCTCAACTCTTTAAAAAAAACACCAAAACAGGATGCCTCAAATAAAGAAGGGATATCAATGCATAGGTTTATCTGAAATATCTTTACGTGTATAATTAATTTATACTGACAGGCAGAAAGAACCATTTACCTCCCTGTGAAATAACTGGTTTGAATACATATATACATCAGGACAGACAAGTCCAAGTTCATTCGATGTCCTTCAGAAAAGCAGCTTCTACTTTGCTACATCTGAAGGACACCAGCAGTTCTAAGAGTCAGGAAAACGTAGTCAATAATCGTTCAGGGGAAGCATTAAAACTATCATCCTAATTACAGATCACAGGAAATTCTTAGAAGGGAGGAGGATAAACATGAACAAAACCCTGGTAAAAGCTTGGATTTATAAGGATACACAAAATCTCCAAATCAAGATTCTTGTCAGTAAAAGCAATACTTAGGATGAAGGTTATCATGAAGACTGGAAATCAGCCCAAGGCTGTAACTGTCTTGATGAAATTGATGAAACAAAAATAAACTTCCTGAAGCAGATCTAAAGTTTAAAAAATAACCATGGTTTCTTTTAATTAAAGAAAATGTTTTTTTTTTTTTTTTTTTTTTTAAATCAAAATCTCCAGTTGTGCCTTGCAACCTAGACTTGTCTATGATTCTACCATAACCTGTTTCCAAACCTGTTTCCTCGTAACTTGCCTGGAACATTGCAAGCATTTTTCTTTTATTTTAATAAAATACAATCGACAAAGACTAGCAAACAACAACTTATTCAGATACAATGAGCCTTAAATAAGGTAATTTCATACCCTTTAGATGTTCAAAACTGCCTGAGCCATACTGGGAAACTGTTAATGTGAATGCAGAACAGAATTAGGCTCCTTGAGGAAAAACTTAAAGGTTTATTTGTGAGTAGACAGAATACCTGAATAAACTGTATGTCTCCAAATCAGTTGGGCCCAAAATATGACAACCGGCTAAAAACTTCTGCCTGACATTCTCATACGCAAGACTAGAAACGACAGAATAAAGGAAACTCATGAGGGCAAAACCGCTTGGAAAACTAAACTCAATGTAGCTGCAATGAGTTAGTACCAAAAGTGGGAAACTGCAACAGATGTGATTCCACCTGAATCTGTACTGCAGTTGTTATTATTCGCACCTTTTATTAATGAAATTCATGATAAAGAATATGTACATCTGTAGATAAAACCATACACAGTTGCCCACAAGAATATGAAAAGACACGCTTCAAATTAAGAACAAATCTTCAAAAATTGGAGAAATGGCTGGGAAAAATAGCATATAATTCCATAATGAGGTGTGCAGGACTTTATATTGAATTTCAGGGAAAAAAAAAACTGCACAAAAGCAATGTCTAACAACTCAATGGACAGTTCTTCAGAAAACGTTCTGGAATTCTAGCAGATAGCAATCAACAGTACTGTGCCATTTGCAGACTTCTAAACATCTCATAATACTGTATAATGAAAAAATATCTAAGACGCACATGAAGTAATCAGCACTGCGAAAGCCTTGGTTTGGTAATATTGCACACACACACACACACACACAAAATAGAAAGAGAGAAAGAGAGGAGTCACATTTCTATCAGCTCTCCATTACTGTGCAGAATCCATAAGCTGTCATGGATATTAGTCGGTTTACAGAAAGAATACTTGACCAGCTCCTCCCAATTAGCCTTTAATCCTCAGACCTTAGATTCCCACAAAACTTTACAAAATTAATTCAAAAAACAAAAAGATTCATAAATACACTTCAAAGCTTTAAAAACACAGTACTTCAAAGCAAGTGTCTCTATTATACTAAGTAATTTTCTAACTCGGCAAACAATTCAAATTTTTCAAATTAGGAATCAATTTTTATATTATTGAATTGATTTTATTGGTAATTTGCTATTATATTCCAATCAGATAAAACGGTTCCATAGGCGAACTACTTTTAAAACTATCTTATCATCATTTGTATATGCAAAAGAGGCTAAAAATAATTTTTGTCTCTCTTCATTCTGCACTTTAGATTTCATTGTACCTCTTCTTAGGGGGAAAAATGGAAACTAGGTACTTTACATACCCTTGAGAACATGAAAAATAATTGTTAAGAAAGTTTATGCAGCCAAACATAGCTGCATATTAAGAAAAAGAAAGTTTAGCTAATGTAGTAAAATGGATTCCTTTGATTCCATAAAGTAGTAGATGTTAAAAATCAGCAAAAAGTCTGAAAACTACTCTCTTTTCATAAAGTCAATTTTCAGCATATTGCAGTTAATATATTAAGCTGACCCACAGTTTGTCCTCCAAAATACATTCTAAATTAGAACTGGAACAAATCTCTTCTCCCAAGGCTCTGATCTAGTAAAGCCTTTTTAGAATACGAGCAGTCCTCTATTTAAATTATAGCAAAGGACTTAACTGGACTAAGGCCTGTGTATGCCTCCTGGTCACATCCACCTAAGAGAACATCAAATAAAACTCAGAAAGCAGCAGAATTTTAGTTGTCTCCATCAGGAAGGAACTGACCCCCTGGGATTTAACATAAGCCAAGTCTCACTGTATAGCTGCATTCCAGGCACCTTCCCACTTTCACCACTTTCTTACAAAAACGTATCTGCTCCCTGCATTTCTCTAGTTCAGCCAAGCTTCTTACGGGCTTTTTACGTGAGGACGCAATAACCAACGGCCTGCTATCTGGTCTTTAGGCCTTGAAACCTCAGAGATTATTAAATGAAGAGATGTGGTCTCAACCTGACCTGAGATTTTACTGTAACAGGGAAACAAATATCCACGTTTTAGAAGACAGGAGCCATTCTTCACTCCCACTCTCTTCAGGTGATTTATGATAACGTGTGCTATCTGGTTAAAAATAATGGCAAACACATGGGTTTTTTTAAGCTGAATTAAGAACCAAACCAACTCAGTAAGCTCTGAGGTTTACCTTCATACTTAGCATCTGAACTACAACAAGACAGAATAAAACAAAAACCCACACACCAAGCAAAGCCTGCATCATCTACAACCATAAAATCATTGCTCCAAACTAGAATCTTCTCCAGTCAAATCAAAATGCTGGTATATGAATCAGTGGAAATTTGTTTTATTAGCACAGTTAATTGTACACATCTGCTCATCAGCACTGTATCAAGTAGACCCACTGTAAAACCCAGCACTAACCCAGGGGTGTCCCGCAGAGCTGCGCCTTCTGCTTCTGCTGCTCTGAGCTAGGATCCAGGGAAAACAGAGAACAGGTCACTGCTACCTCCACCTATGTGTCCTGAGCGGCTCTGAGATTACTAACCTCATAATGTCAATTCCCCTCCTGTTAGAGCACCGGTTTCCACCTCTTGCATTACTTCTTTTTTTGCATTAGTTCTGAAAAGCCAGCAGGAGAAACACCATCTTATCAGCCTATCTGAGCTGTAGCCAAGAGCTATTCGAAAACTGATACTTGAATAGACCACTCAGAGAGCAGCTAATCGAGTTTATTTCTGTTGCTTGCAAAAGCTAAACAAAAAGCACCAGGGAAAGACACTGAGCACCCTTACCTTATTCTGCACTTCTCCTCCTCCTCCTCCTTTAAGCACACTTATTTTAAGGCACAAATAAACTTGGACTTTAACAAAGGAACCTAGACATACCATTTAAAACAAACTTTTCACTAGCTCCATTAACAAGTAAAACCATGTAATATTACATCTAAAAGTATTTTCCCTTTCTTCAGATGCATCATATAAAAAGAAATGCGTGCAATTAAGGATTGGGGGATTTCTGATTTTTTTCATGGATGTGCACATCCATGAAAGGCAACAATTAAATATGTATTAAAACCAAAATGCTCCCCAAAAATGGAACCACAGGGGAAGAGCAGCAGAGCAGAGCGCAGCAGAGCACAGCAGAGCAGAGTGCAGCACAGCACAAGACTTGTGCAAAAAGCCATTCAGGCCCAATCTCAGTTCATACAAAAGCAGTACAAAAACCAAGCAAACAAACAAACAAACAAAAAAAAGTAAGTTGAAATATTAACAGTGAAAAAAAAGTCACCCTTCTAGCTGTATTTTATTATCACTTTATGTATTTATATAGGAACCACTCAAGCATTTAAACAAAACTTTGGAAGAATATTAAAACGTACAGTTCACACTGACTTCAAAATTCTTCTGAACGAAGGAAAAAAGAAATATTAAAACGTGTGAAAAGGGAACTGCTGAAAAGAGACATGAAAAGAACGTTCTTTAAATATGCTCTACCCTTTTTCGAGAAGTCAGGCAGCAAGAAGACAGGATTCATTTCGGCAAAGCAGTTTTTGTTTCACATAACTTAACATTTTGCTACTTCAAAATGCTACTGTAACACGCACTGAAAAACAAGCAGATGCAAGCATCCAACATTTAAGACATTATTAGACCAGAATCGAAATATTAAAATATTTTTCAGCATTTACTCTTGTGCACTGTTAACATAACTTAAATTAAGACCCGTTAGACGCAAAGGTACTAAAAAAAAGAATTTAAATCAACCATTAAATTTAAATAGGTAAGTTTTTCATGGATGGATACAGAGCTAACAATGCTAGCCAGTTAAAATAGCCTTTAGCCCCTTCTTCAGCACTCCACGCATGAAGCTTTCACAGCATTCAACAAAATAAGTTAAACAAAAATTATAATATCTGTGAGAAAGTGGTAACTCTAAGCCTCACTTTCCTGAGAGGAAGCCATTATTATACATTATCCACGAGCTGGCCCTGGAACTACAAGCCTATTCATCCCTGATGTCTTCTATTCCAGCTGTTTACCTGGTAAACACTGTCACTCCGCTACAAAAGGCCACTGTCTCCCCAGGGTATCCAGGTTAAACCTAGCCAGTTTCAGAACCGCAACACATCTGGCTGCAAGCTGCAGATTGCCTCCTCCGATACGTTGGGAGCTGGCTCCTGTTTGAGATAGAGTACTGTACCATCGAGATCACTACTTCCACATGCAACTCCTGTTTCTATGCAAGGTATTGCTGGCCAGGATCATGACATAATTGTAGAAGGCATAGAGAAAATATATAAAATATTTTAAACAAAAGTCTGAGCACCTATCAGTTACAACCATGACAGCAGCGATGCACGGAACAGCCTTTCCCCACCCGCAACTTCTCCCTTCTGGGGCAAAGGTTTTCAATCATTTACCCACTTACCATATATCCTGTGGCAGGTTTAAAGTTATGCTGCCTTTGATTTCATCCCCAAAGCGCAGATACCCTAGAGTGGCTAGGGAGATATACAAGGCCATAACTATTCCCATGCCAATATTCAGTGCCTGTGGGAAACGCGTGCTGTCTTTCATTCTGTTTTCCAGTGGGAGTACCTGGAAACGGAGGGAGAATAGTTACATTTTATGTCCTCACAGTAAGGCTCCACCCCCAACCCTGCCTTTTTAAAGTCAATTTCTGTAATTTAGGTGCTATTATTAATTAATCAGCTTACTCTGCAATAACATTTTACAGCCAAGAAGATCACCATGTTTTATACACCCAATAGAAACATTCAGCCATTCACTGAAAGAAGTGTCATTCAACTTACCTTTAAGTAGACATATAGCCTATAGGATATGTTTGATTAACAATCTGTCACTGCAATTAAACTAGCCTTCCATATCTAGTTTCCACTTATGTCAAATCTAACAAAGGCAAAACAATCTCCATGCGACAGGGCTGCCCTACAAAAGCTAGTGTCCTCCATACAAAACTGCTTTTTAAATGACTAAATATCTACTGTTTTCAGTTAAGTTACAAACAAATTGGGTTTCATTGACTAATTATGAGAAAAATCATTATATTTGAATAGCTGCCATACTCCTCCTTTTAGGGGAATCATTCCTTCCCTCATATTTACCCCCTGGTATTCACTTCCTGACCTATCATCGAGCATCACTACTGTCCAGCTATCTTATTTCTCATATACTGGAATTCTGAAGAAGTAATTTTATTTAGGAACAAATAGATCTCTAAAAAGGTGCATAGTTAGTGGCATTTCCAAAGTTTCTGTGCATCCTTAATTAAAATATAGTATATAACTTAACTGAGGAACCTTCTTATAATTCAAAGCTTCCAGAGCTGGAGTTTTTCCTCCAACAATCAAACCGAGCTTGCACTATAACATAATGATGTAATAGTGATGGACAACGGAAAATTTAAATCAGGACATATTTCAAAATTTAAATCAATCTATAAATGATGGTGTTCAGTAGCAGGAAAAATACAAAATATGTGCCTAGAGGTATTACTTTACTGCCACAGTGGCAAAAAACGTTCATCCATCCAAATGGAATAACTTTCTGTAGCAATACAGCTGTCTCTGTATTTCACATTGAGAATTGCCAGGTAGAATGGTCAGCATTTTGGATTCTTTTGTCCTCAGCTGGAATTAGATTGCTTTAACATATCTCCTTGCAAAGACCTTGGAAGAATGTTAATTACAGGCAAGTTTCCCCTCATCTCAGTTTTCTCCTACTTGATCTCCTATAAAACACACTGAAAGAAGGCATTAACAGAAAATATCTGGGACTGGACCACTAAAAAACACTCATTCAAGGCATAACTGTTAATTCTCTAGTGATTATAAATGGAGCATATTTCCTGTGTACGTTCTACCATGTTCTACAGATTCAGGGAATTCTAATAAGCATAAATTGTTGCAAGAATATCTTATTGCGAGCCAGCTATTTCAGCTCTGCAGAGCTTTAATGGCAATTCATTGCCCAGCTTACACATACCAGGAGTCTCTTAATAAGTTCTCAGGCACAGAGATTTGATTTCCAGTGTCTCCAACATAAAATCCTTTTGTACGTTCCCAGAAGGAGGGTTGTGAACGTAAAGACACATTCCAGTAATGAAAAATCTGGCATTTTTCAACCACGATTCCTGGCAGGACAGGGATCCTGGAGACTGCCTGCCTCTCTGAAGGGCAGCAAAAGCAATCTGTAGGAGACTAAGGGGAAAAAGAGCCATTTCCTACGGTTTCACAGTCAACAGAGGGAGCTCAACTCAGAGACCTTTTACTGACCCCCCTGGACTGTTCCTTATGATGCCTTTTTCAGAGGAAAGATCCATGCTGATCTTTGGCAGCTAGTCTACCATTCACAAAAAAGCAGAAAAGAAGGAAACTCCTTACTTGTTGGCTATACCTTTAACTGAAATAGCAAAATGTTATACATCTATAACAAACACAGGCTATGGCAATTCTGAAAAACATTAAAAAGAAAAGAGGTGTTTATATAACTGCACAGGACAAGGCAATAGATGTTAGTAACTAATTACTATTATCTAGTTACTAGTTACTATTATTACTATTTTGCAGACATGTAATGCTTTACAGCAGATTGCAGTATGGCTTCCACTTCCTGTCCAGAGAAAAGTGTGGGACGAAGGAGCAAAAGCCTAACAGCAGCTGGACATCAAGAGTCACTGCAAGAGTTGGCCTGCCAAGCAGGAAACACTGAGGCACAGAGCAGATTGACATCCAGCCTCCTACCAAATCAATCCACAGGGAGCATCAGCAACCAGGACCAAGGCAGTTAACACATACAGCCACTGCTTTCAAAGAGAGTGCACCAAGAGCCCAGCGGAATTGCCCGAGACCATGCAAGACTGTACTGGAACCAGCAAGATGGTGGCGACATGATCCTCCTGTACCACCCCTAGAGGAGACACCCCGGCACATCAGAGACTTGGATCAAGATGAACTCCTGAGGGAAGACGTATCCACCTGGATCTCAGGCTGCAAGAACTACCAGGTCCTCCTTCCTGAAGCCAGGGCTGAGGGTGATGATGGCCTCACCTGCAGAAGGGGTGCTGTGGCTGAACTGCTGAGCCACCAAATGAAAGAGCTGATACGCTGCTACCCTGGGCCTGGACCCAGGCCATCACAGAAGGATTACTAAGGCTTATCCAACTATCAGACTGCTATCGTGGGCTGCTCATTCACGTCACCAAGAGAGACACTAAGTGCATAAAGGGTGGCTAGACAAGTCTGGAAGTGACAATGAAGGAGTTCAGGGCCTTTAGGAGTTAGTTAGTGCTTTCCTCCAGACTACCGGCCAAGAAGAAAAACTCGGACAGGAGTGGATGCACCCTGGAGATGAAATCCCGGCTGTGCAGCTGGTGCTACCAGGTGGGTTCAGGCTTTCTCAAATATGGGACCATCTTTAAGGAAGGACAGGTGGGAGGGACAGGATCCACCTGAAAAGGTGACAGAAGGGAATCTCTTCCAATAGGCTTGCTAATATAGTAAAGAGGACCTTTAATTAGTTTCACTAGGGAATGAAGATCAAAGCCTGCAGATAAAAGTAGGAATGGTAGATAAGGAATGAGCACACACAAGAAAGGACAGCAGCAGTGGTGGCTCTCATACTCCCTAAAGCGGGTGACCAGGAACCATCTCAAATGCCTTCACACAAAGTCACCTAGCCTGGGAAACAAACAGGAGGAACTATAAGTTTGTGAAAAGTCACAGAGTTCTGATGTTGCTGGAGTTAGAGGCATGGTGCCATAGCTCTCAGATCAAGAGTGGTATGATGAACAACAGGATCTAAAGGAAAGACAGGCTGGAAAAGCGTATGGCGGGGTGTGCACTGCACACAGGAACCACTTTAATGCACAATTTGCTATGCAGTGGCAACAGGTCTGTCAAGGGCTTATAGGTCAAGATTGGAGGGAGGCCAAAAATGGGGACACTGGTGAGCATCTATTACACAGAGTCCCGTCAAGAAGAGGAGGTGGATGAAACCTTCCTTAACCAATGGAGAGACACCCTTCTGATCACAGGCCCTGATTCTCATGGGGGACCTTGATCACCCTGACAGCTGCAACACAGCATGGCAAAAGCACTTCAGGAAATTTCTGGAGCATATTGAAGAATTTTTTGATGGAGGCCCTGAAATAAAAACAATTAAGGGAGGTATTCTTCTGGTTCTGCTACTCATAAATGAAGAAAAATTGATCAGGGATGTGAAGGTCAAAGGCAGCCTTGGCTACAACAAACATCGGATATTGACACTTAAAATTCTGAATGAATTCTTCCCACTTAAGGAAGACAACTAGCAAATTAAAGATCCTGGACTTCCAAAGTACAGAATTCAGCTTTTTCAGGGAACTAAAAATCAAGATGCCCAAGTCGACTTGAAGAGCAAATAAGCCCCCCCCCCCCCCCAGAGCTGGCTGATCTTCAAAACCAATCTTGTTAAAGCACAAAAACTGTCCAGCCTGATATGCAGGAGGCTAAGTAGGCATAGCAGGAGGCCAGCTTGTCTAAACAGGGAACTAATTGAGCTCAAATGCCAAAAGGATCTGCGAGGAAGGTAGAACTGGGGATATAGTCTATGCAAGAGGAAGCATTGCCTGGGCACACAGGGGTGGAAGCAGGAAAGCTAAAGCCTGGCTGCAATTGAAACTGGTTAGGGATGTGAAGGGCCACAAAAAGGTAGTTCTTCAATGACTGGAAAAAGGCATATGTTGCACCCACCTCCAAAAAGGCAAGGAAGAGTCTCCGGGGAGTTATCAGCCAGTCAGCTTCATGTCAAAAACCAGCAAGACTACAGAGCACATCCTCCTATAAGTCGTTTCCAGGCACATGAAGGAAAAGGAGATGTTTGGGAGTGGCCAGCACAGATTTATGAGGGACAAATCATACTTAGCCAACCCCATGACCTTTTATGAAAACAATAACCAATATACTCATCTGCTCTTACTGAGCATTATTTCTGCAGCCACCAGGAAGGATATTAACAAAAATCACTCATTTCTCTCTGCTCATTCTTGAGTTAGTATCAGGGCCAGATCCACCTACAAACCGAACAGGAGAAGTGCATTAGCGAGCAGCCTCTCCTGCCTCATGCAGTCCAGTGAGCACGTCCCTCTCCAGCCTGACCAGTGAGTCTTCCTAGGTTCAGTCAGTCTCTCTGGGGAGCAGCAGCAGGAGTTTCCAGTCAATTTTTGTCAATGCAGGAGTTACAAAATATCAAACCATGATCCATCTCCATTTAATCCATCAAATGACGATCTCAAGAACTGCCCGTAATTCACTGTCAAAGAGCCACAATCTAATCTTTGAAGTAACTTTGTAGACTACCATTATCAATTACTCAGAATAATTTCCCTTTGATTTCAAGCTGCATGCAATAGTTGGAAACATCCCCAAGTAACAATGGGGATCTTTTATTTACTTGCCTAGAATATCCTGGTACAATCAGACTTTTCAGAACTAAGCTGCAGGGAACTATTTAATCCTAAATAGACATTTCTACTGTATGTTTTACATGACTGGACCAAAAGTAACACGCATGAGAACTCAGACTGCAGATAAGCAAAT